GAGAGATAGAGATGGGCCAAACACAATTTCGTGGCCCTTTCAGAGTATTCAAATGTTTTAAGTGCAGCCACTTGACCATGAGGCCCGCAATGGCCTCGTCAAGAGCTTTCAGTCGCCACAACAGACTAATAGCCTTGAGCAAACAATCGTAAGACCCCAGTTTCTCCATCCAACTTTACAAGCACTTGTGACCCAGGACTTTGACTGATCTGTCAACCCTACTAAAAGCCAAGGATCTTTCCAGGAGAGGTTTAAGGGGGCGGCGCAGACCGAGTTTTCCAAATATACAGCATCTCTGCCTCCATAAGGGATATAAACACAGAGCACTCGCTCACACGCACACGTGAACTGCATTCTCATATCATATGGGTGAGCTGATAGTGGAGCTTCGAGCTCAGCCAAGTATGCAGAGTCTTTGGAGTGTGTGCTAATGTCTGTTTAGTCTAGCCTACACAGAATTTTGGGTTGCATGAATCTGTCAGCTTATTTCTGATGAAAGCAAACGAGCATTCACCACTATGTAAAATGCTTGTAAGACACATTTTGATTTGGAAAGAGTTGGGATTTTCCCCCTATAGCTCTGCAGTGTGTTGGAGTGTTGAAGCACTTGAACTACCCCTCTCAGTAATGGTCTCAAATACGACTGTGCGATGATCTGATTTTTAAAATTTTTAAAACAGATATTGCGATTTTGATTTGATTTGCGATTTAATTTGTAGTCAAGCTTCAGCTCAACTATCGTAGCTTTTTACTGCTAAAACTGAAGGGATATTAACTAACTTTTATTCAAATTTGTTTATAATCATTCAGAAATTAAACACAATTTTTTTTCTCTAGAGCAAACAGTAGTGAGTAATGGCGTTAGTTATCTCCTGGTGCCTTCATGATGTGTTTTCATATGCAACAGCTGCAAACAACTCTGAAATTGTACTTTGCTGTTGCTAGCTACTAAACTGAGTGTCACTGGCAATACTTTTAGTTCACTTTTTAGCAAGACACTCTTCATATAGCCAACTGTGGTGCTTTTTTAGATGCTGGTTGTCCATATATTAATGCTTCTGAAATGGCAGACGCCATCATCCCACTTGTCCGCACTTTACTGTTTGTTTATTTTATTGTGGGCTTTTTGCATAGTTTGGTTGTGCAATTGTGATTGGGCAGAACGAAAGTGTGCTCACTCAGTTGGCTAGTAAAACTGTCACACACAGACGGCAGTCAAGCATTTGCTCTGGGTGGGGGAAATTATATAATAATATATATTTCATATCATAGCCTCCTGCGATTAGCTAATTTTAAGGTTTCGAATTGCAATTGCGATTAGATTTCAATTAATTGCACAGCTCTAATCTCAAATACCCAAAAATACTATAGTAAGACAGAGGGGATTGTGGAAAAAAACATTTTTATAATCTAGTTCTAAATTAACAATGATCTATATATAACTGAAAAATTATATTCTTTGGTTTTTAATTATCTCATTTCATTAAGAACTAGGGTTTGTAAGGCATTAAAACCTCTTGCTTTCTGAGCACTGGCTGTGCCAAATGGCTCATTTCCACTGAGTGGTACAGTATGGTACAGTTTGGTATGATATTATGGCCATTTCCACTGTCAAAGGCAGGGCTTAATTTGCACCTCATTTTACCGATACACCTCCTTACCTGCCCTCCTCCCCCGTCCGCTGTTCACTTTCACTTTGTTCCACGACTCCCCAACACTCTTCACTTTCGTGTGCGACAACCAACCCCCGCGCTGGCTTGTAACTTACATCAGCGACACCCCTCCGCTATCCAACGCCCCGCTACCCCCTCCATCCCTTTCTCCACTTTCGTGCGCAACACCTCTACATCCTCGGGTAGCATGCCGGACCCATTACACCAATCTGTTCACAAATTAAGCACTGGTCAAAGGGAACCAAAAAGCGAACCGTACTGTACCACTTTTTGGGTACCTTTTTAATAGGGTACCTAGCACAGCAAAAGGGTACGAAAAGGCGGAGCTAGACACGCAGCTGAACAATATTGGTTTACAGAGAAGCATGACTAGCTCGTGCACAAGCAGGAGAATGAAAACAAAGTAAGCGTCATTTTTAAATACACAGCAGAGACATTACGCCGTAATAATATCTACGTATAATAATAAGCCATGGTCGAACCAAGCTCAAACAGACCTTGTAGTTGGCTTAATGAACAGCCACAACAGCCAAGGAGAACAAAATCTGCCATGTTTTTGTCACTTTCTCCAGAGAGGAGTGCATGTCTATATTTGAAATAACAAACTTCTGACGATAATAACGTGTGCATGATTATTGAAGTGCTTGTGACATCTGATTCTTTCCAAAGCGGACAAACGCAAGAGTCAAGCGCAAAAAAACAAAGGAGAAACTGGAAAAAAACAAAGGAGCAAATGATTCTTTTAGCGACCTAAAACATGAACAAACTGCCATGTTTAATTATTATCATCACCTTTTGGACTATTATGAACTTGGAATAACGAAATTACTTTCTAACAGAGGTTACATGTGCTGGTGAAAATTAAAGATACAGATGAGAGGTTTGCACAGAATGTTGGCTATATGCTGTGTGTTGTTTTTGAACCCAAATAAGGACTAAATGTATGCTGTGTGTAGTTTTTCTGTAATTGGTAACATATCGTAGACTGTAAGTTGGTACCCTTTTGGCAGTGAACAGCAAGCCTGATAAAGGTGACCCATACCGACCCATACCATACCGTAATGTACCACTCAGTGGAAATGGGCCAAAAGTGATGCAAATGAAAACGCCAGGGTCCCAACAACTGTGCCTTTGTCCTTGGGTGATACTTATAATCTGGTCAAGGCAGGTTAAGCCTCAGGATCTATGCATCTATCTAGGCCCATTTTTTATGTCTCCATCTACAAACTCTGCCCCCTCTTAAAACACATAATAGACAGGACAACTCTGTCTCAAATTAGGCTTGATATTGGACGTGAAAAACGTACAGACTTGTTACAAACTACTCTTGTCACTGTAAGTTACTCCTGTAGGCTCTTGCTGACTTGTAGACTTTTTGAAGATGCTATAGGCTAACCAACACGTCTCAGTAAAGTAATTCTGCTCGTTTGTCTCCTGGCCTGGGTTCCTCATCTTTTTATTTATTTTTTCCAACAGTATGTGGCTGTTGATAGCTTGGTACTGTAAATGTCTCAAAACTGACTGAAAAATGAATTTGGAATTCTACCCTTTCTACACAATACTTAACACCGCCACTAATGTGAGAGAGAGAAAGAAAGAAAGAAAGAAAGAAAGAAAGAAAAAGAAAAAGAAAGAAAGTCATTATTTAGTAAACTAGCGAAAATAACATGGATTATTTAGTCCTTTCTCTTTTTTTTCCTCCAAGGCTGAAATTAGCTCAGTGGGTGGGAGAGGTAATCATAAAGAGGAAAACACCTGCATGGATACAGGTGTATGAAAGCTATTAACACAGAGAGAGAGAAAACGGGGAAGCAGGGTAAACGCACTCAAGTCATGACAAATTCATAACAATATTCAGGAGTTTTCTTTTAAAATAGAGAGTTTATTTAAGACTTCAAGTTGTCATCGGAAACAACATTTGCCATGACTTTATGATAAAGGCACATTCAACGTTTGAAAAAAAAAAAATCACTAAATGTTAATTTTGTGTGAAATAGAAAAGTTGAGTGTGCATTACATAGTATAGCATGGCACTGAAATGAAAATGTTACAATAATAAATTAGATTAATATAATATAATATAATATAATATAATATAATATAATATAATATAATATAATATAATATAATATAATATAATACATTGAGAACGGATTAGTTTTAACCCTGTGATATGTATAATATCACTAATACATCACTAGATTACATAATTACACCTTTTTTTTCCTGGTGCTGGGGACTTTTCATAAGCATTCCTAATAAGCCTCTAGTTATTTTCACTAGCTCTCTGGCTAATATGACTAAAACAGAGTAGCAGCCAATTTACATTTTGCTTATGTCTTCCAGGCCTTTTTAAAGCAATTAAAGAAGCAAGCTATGCATTTACAACAGTTTTGTGTAAATTAAATATTAACCCACATGAACCTTAAATATAGACAAAAAACAAGCATTTTTGAGCAGGAAATTGCATTCAGTTTTAATAAAGCTACAAATGCAAACAACATTTGTTTAAGATAGGAATTTAGAGATAGATATGACAGCTTTAACAAACACTGACCATCTTCATATGCCACAGGCCTCATAGGCTTTCACCAGCACAAGCTAACTCAGACATTTGAGCGCATCATTAAAAAGTAATTAGTGGTTTGAAAAAGAACATTATGTGTATGTGTGTCTTTATCTAGGAGAAGAAAAAATAATCAATTTGTTTTTGTCCAGAATGAACCAGCTGATGCTACGAGCCTGGTTCGCATTCATATTATGCTGCGTTTTGTAATTAGAATGAGTCCCTCCCATTTCATAACAAAGCCTCTTTAGATTCCCTGAACATTTTGCCTCCCATTGCTGTCAGCTGAATGGCGAAAACTGTACGCGTAATGCCATCTCAAAATCAATCTGTGTGAACACCCCATGCAGTCCAGGGCTCCCGCTGGTGCTCAGGACTAACAATAAAGAGCAGTAAATGCATTCCTATCAGCCAGGCAAGTAGGCATGTGTACGCTAAAACACTCCCCGAAGAGAGCACAAATAAACGCCATTCTCCATGCGCGCACAGGGGGAAAAAAATACATAAATAAATAAAAAAACAAGTTGTGTGAAATGCAAAATGCTGCTTGTTGAATTGCAGCAGTACATAAAGCAGCACTTTGCCAATGTAGGTGGAGACACTACACAGAGAGCAAGAGCAGCCTGTCTTCTGTTGCAGAAATCAAACAAACCACGGTGAAGAGTGATTAGCTGTCTAGTTGCTACATAAACGGCCACAGTGCAAAGCCAGAAGGTTTTTCGGGACCAGTGGAGGTTATCTCCCCGAAGACAGTCGACAATGACTCTCCTCAACTACGCGTATTCTTAAGCAATAACAACGAGAGCCGTATTATCCACCCAAGAATACCCGTCACCGAAGAGAGCCTCAGAAAAAAAAGGGGGTGGGGGGCTTCGCCTGACTTTCAGCCATCCACAGTGGCATAGGCCAAAACAGAGTTTTCTCTCTAGGGGAATTGATTGAAGATGCCCTTTACCATAAGGCAAGGCCCCCGTCAAAGGTTGCATCTGCAGACAGAAATGAACACACTTTGCATTTGTAGCAGGAGAGGGTGGATATTGCATGTACAAATAAAAAAAGCGCTTCCCTTCCTGGGTTTAACTAGTAATGTGGAGAGACAGATGGTGAGGGGGATCATCTTACCTGAGAGAGGGTGCTCACGGAGCTCGCGCCCTGTCCTCGGTCCAGCCCGGCCTCTGGGGGCGGAAGTGCTCGCAGGCCAAATCTGGGAACGATGTAAAGGAGGTAGGAATTAAACAAAAGTTGGCTTGATGGATTCTCCGCCATAGGTTTTTTAGCGTTGCAATTGCACTGTCAAACACTGTCACCTTCAAAGTCTCACTTGCTCATCACACACATTCAGGCAGGGAGGAATATAGAGAGAGAGAGTAAGAGAGAGAGAGAAGAGGAGTCATACAGAAAATCCATTAGCAGCGGGAAGCAAATTACAGATCGTTTGGGGGAAAAAAGGGAATGCAATGATGGCTGTCAGAAACGGGGAACAATGACTGTTATTATGGCTCTCATTTTCTGAGGGGTGCAGCAGCTCCCAAATGGAAGTGGAAAAGGTGGACATCAGAACACGTATTTTTCCTGCCTTGTGGAATTCATTTATACACACTTACTGATTGTAATCTTTAACATTTAAATAAAATAATGATAATCTAAAGATTATCCAAGCCAGAATGTGAGAAATATGTGTTTACAACAGCTTTCATGAAACATTTCTCACAGAGCATTGGAGGAAGAAAATAAAAATAGCATTTAAACGCACACATTAACAGAACGTGCACCAAACAATGGTGATTCACCATGACACTTGGAGTGTAAAGCCAACACAATGTATTCAAAAACATGGCGTAAACATGGACTATGGCTATCTAACATGCTCGAAACACTCAGACACACCCATCCACTGATGCTTACAGAATTGAGCTCAGAATTCACACACGTAGTAGAGAAACAACACATTGGAGACACTGTGACAGCAGAACAACCTCTGCTTCGACACAACAGGCTTGTCAAAAAACAAACTCCCTTCTTATCTTGTTTGGACAGCCCTGTCAAAGCTAAAAGACCACCCTCCCGTGCCCCCATAAGCATGCATACAGCCAGGCTCCCATGATATAACATCTTCTGGCCATAATTGCGAAAAAAAAAAAAAAACACACACAGACACACGTTATCTTCATGCTTAACCCAGAAGCGTTTTCCTGCAGCAGGTGCACGGAATGAAGAGTCAGAGTGACTGTCCCAATCCTTTTGCGACTTTTCCCTCCATTTTGGAGCTTTTCAGAACAACAAAACAATGAAACATGACGTGAGGTGGACAAACGAAAGAAAAGAGAAGACAAAACGTGGACAGAAGAGACAAAAAAAGCTTTCTCTCTCACTCTCGCTCTCTCTCTCTCTCTCTCGTGAAGCTCCTCTTCATTCCACTCACACATCATTACAGAGGCTCACTGACACAGGGCTCCTGCTGCCTGCCAGTGATTGCCATTTAATTGAAGGAGCAGGAATCCCATGAATATGTTAATATGGCAAACACAGTTGACAAATCCAGCAGGAAAAGAAAAAGAAAAAAAAAATATCCACCGCCCCGATAGTAGCGCGATTACACAAATCTGCAGCACAGTGACAATCAGCTCACACAATACCCACGGCAACAAATCTTTCTTTCCCCCACGATATTGTGACGAGTCACAAAAGGAACAAAAGTAGTGGCAAGAAAAAGAAAAAAGACAGGCACAAATCCTTACTCCACTGAAGCAGGCTTACCCTAGAGATCTCTCAGCACCCGCTGAACACAAAGCCGCCCATTCGTCCGCTGCCATGAGCCGGCAGTGATGGGGAAGGCATAGGATGCCTCTCTTCTGTTCCTCCAGGTTCCTTCTGTCCCTGCCGTAAGACCATGTGCCCAAACGACGTGCAGGATCCCCTCCCATGCCAAAGACCACGCTTGCCGGAGAACAGCAGAGAGCTCTGCCAGTTGTTGCGCACAGCAAACTAAGTCACAGGAGGATGAGAAGAGCGAGGGAGTTACAGAGAGAGTGGGAGGGAAAGCAGGAGTGGGAGAGAGGAACAGACTGAGAGTGAGTATGTGGCTGTAAGGATAAGATACTGAAAGAGAGAGAGGGAGAGAAAGAGAGAGAGAGGGGAGAGGGAGGAACACCTAAAATACCCAACCACAGGGCTCAGCGAGGAAAGATCCGTCTATCTTTCGATCTAAGGAGGGATGGACATGGAGAACGCAAAGCCGAGAGAGAAAGAGAAAGAGAGAGAGACTAATTAGATTTGAGCTCCAACGCAGTAAGCAAAGGCAGTGAGCCATGAATCTCAGGCATCTAATGGTGGATTAATTGAGGGAGATCTGATGCTCGCTCCTCTCCGTCTAGTCTTCATGACATCTTATTGGACTGTGGCTCTGTCCCCTGGGACTGCTGCTACAACAGTTAAGGAAGCATCATTTCCACCAACACCGGCACTGCCATCTGTATGCATGACTTCACCGCTTCTCACAAACCCTTCACTTCACTGCGAGAATCATTCACTGTTGAGAGAGACGTCAGGCCAAAATGAGAAAGATGTCGCTGGACGTACTTATAGCTATTTGTGTCTATGCTGCTGGCCATGTGGTACTACATGTTACTCACATTACATGTTAGACACTAAAACATCTTGCAAATTTACTGCAATTGAATATCTAAACAACAATAGTTGTCCATCTTTCATACAACTCAGTTTATCCATGAAAACTGAGATGCTTTAAGAAATTATGTGGTTTGCTTAGTAAAACTAATTATGTATAATTAACATGTTAGTATCAGTCATTGCAGAATCAATGCAGAACCAAAACTGTTTAGGTCACACCAATCATATGTATTATTAAATCCTGTGCATTGTTTGTGTGCTTCCTCAAACAAGCACACATTTACAAAATGGACAAATTTCCGCTGAAGCATTTGATGACACAATCCATTGTTTCTATTGAATTACTTTAAATCCTAACATCAGAAGGAAAATGTTACCATATTTCTTTAAACGAGCCCAAATATATCACTTCATTGAAAGGACACATTTCAGAAATGACTTTTTATTTGATAAATAATAAAGCACATCCTGCTTTTAGCTTAGACAAAGGCACCAAAGTGTTTGACCCTATTTTGCAACTACATACTGCCCTCTGTTGGTTCATCCAGCAGTAGTTCACTTTTTTTCAGAGCCACTCCTTTGCTTTGATTATTAGTCATCATTATCATTTTGCTCAGAGGATATAGAGATTCTTTGGCTACTTGACCAAAAAAAAAAAAAAAAATGAACAACAACATTGAAATCTGTAAGTATAGTGTTATTATTATATGTGATACAGTGCTCAGCATAATTGAGTACATCCCATTTTGAAAATTTCTATTTTATCAATTTCTCAGTGAATTTAGGCAATGTATTTTGGTGCATTTAAACAAAACAGATTTTCTTAAACAGATATTTTTATTTTTTAAAAACGTAGTCACCAAACATATTTAGAAATTGAAAGATAATACAATTAAATTCAAGCAAAATGTTATTTTTTTTTTTTTTTTTTGCTTCTCCTGATTTTTCCTCTCTTTTTTTATTTGTATTTAATATTTTTCTATAACATAAATTTGGGTATACTAGTTTTTGGACCGTTATCGTAAATTATTTTGTTAAATAAGCTTCAGATTTGGCTTCAGCAGTGACTAATCTAATGTATATGCACATATGAATTTAAAAGATAGATTTGTTAAGGGTGTATTTATATATGCTGAGCACTGTATAACAATATACTGATTTTGATCATGTTAATTGTTATTATGGGATAATATTGTCTGATCACATCAGCATCGGCATTAAGGACTATACATTTCTCTTGCAAATATTTTATTTGTATTTACAAATATTTTTAAAAATCACATGCTGTCATTGTTTAGTCACCATTTACTTGTTATTAACCAGTTTGAGAAAGAATGTTCAAAACCTGTAGCCATTGACTTCCATATAATATGTTTGTCCTACTATGTAAGTCAATGGTTACATGTTTCCAACATTTTTCAAAATATCTTGTTTTTTTTTTTTTTTGTGTGTGTGTGCTAAAATAAAAAGGATCAAATGGGAAGTCAGTGGTTAGTAAATGATGACATTAATTTTGTATGAACTTTCCCTTTAAGTATATACACTACCGGTCAAAAGTTTGGAGTCAGTATGATTTTTAAATGTTTTAAAATAACATTTTAAAACGTTTTAAAATAACACCAAGGCTGCATTTATTTAATCAGAAATACAGTATGAAATTGTGAATTGTTATTGCATTATAAAATAGTTTGTAATTTAATTTAATAATTTATTCCAGTTATTTTTCTGATGAATTTTCAGCTTCATTACTCCAGTCTTTAGGGTCACATGATCCTTCAGAAATCAATCTAATATAATTAAATTTATTATTATTATTATTATTATTAATTAATTTTCTTGTTGGCTCAGTCGCTTTATTAATCCGGGGTCACCACAGCGGAATGAATCACCAACTTATCCAGCACATGTTTTACGCAGCGGGTGCCCTTCCAGCTGCAACCCATCTCTGGAAAACATCCATACACACTCATTTACACTCATACATTACGAACAATTTAGCCTACCCAATTCACCTGTACTGCATGTTCTTGGACTGTGGGGGAAACCAGAGCAACCGGAGGAAATCCACACGAACACAGGGACAACATGGAAACTTTACACAAGAAATGCCAACTGACCCAGCAGAGGCTCGAACCAGCGACCTTCTTGCTGTGAGGTGACAGCACTACCTTCTGCGCTACCGCGTCGCCTATCATTATTATTATTTTTAATGTAAT